AATATCTTTGATTTACAACATTATCATTATTGATACTATTAGTAATTTTCAATTTTCAATTTACATTTTAAAAAGGGAAAAAATTATTAAGTTGGAATTTTATTAAATATTAAAATATAATTAAATTAATTTTAGATTTTATTTTGATTGTAGTAGAGAGAGGATTATGGAGAAAGTTATACGAGGAGAGAAAGAGAATAAACCATTATTAATATCACTATATCCGTTATATTTGTATAATAACCTTATTTATCCTCAACTATCTATTAAATATTAATCCTTTATTAACTATATAATCCATATCATATTATTTACTTAACACCAAGGAAACCCTAGCTCCGGATTTTTCGGAGCTGCGACTTTTCGGTGAGGCTGCGTAGACGCGACGACCGCCATGACCAATCTCGTTCCGGGAGCCTCCCTCCCGGAGCCCCGCCCGCCGGATGTTAACGCGGGCTCAAGGCGGCCGCCGCAAACAACGTCATCACCGAATAGTAAGGCTGGAAGGGAGATGCAGCAAGCGAAGAAGAAAGCGAAGGCCATGAACGTGAACCCGCTCTTCGAAGCCGCTCCGGTCACGGAGGAAACGGTAGAGATGGAGGGGATCCACAGACAGGAGGAAGCCAATGGCAACCAAGACTCGGTGCGGACGCCTCCGGTGTCAGCATGGGGACAAGGAAAGAAACTTTTCAGCGAGGTTCTCCAGGAGGATGCCTGGTACGTGGCTGAATCTGATTCTGAGGACGTCAACGCAGCCATGCGCGAGGATGATCTGGATGACGAAATACCTGAGGACGACGATCCGAAGTGCCCAACCATCCCATTCAAAGCAATGGAGAAACTGAGGTACAGACGAAAGTGGAGATCGGCATTGATTGTGAAAGTGTTGGGGAAAACTTTTCCTTTCCAGGCTATCAGCAGGCGGTTGGAAACTTTATGGGCTAAGTGCGGGACCCTGCAGGTATCTAGTCTCTCTTGGGGCTTTTACGCAGTTCGCTTCACTAGCCAAATGGATTATGAGCAGGCGGCGCAGGGAGGACCTTGGACCATGGGTGGACATTACATTACGGTGCGACCGTGGCGGAAAGGTTTTGACCCTCGCACAGCGGAGGTAGCAACAACCATGGTTTGGGCTCGATTGCCGGGTTTACCTATCGAGTTCATCAACCGTGAAGCAGCGGAACGCATTGCGTCAAGGATCGGCCGGGTAATCAAGGTGGACCGTGCGACCCAGAATGGGGATATGGGACGTTTTGCTCGAGTTTGCGTTGAGGTTGATCTCACCAAACCGCTTCTCTCGCAGTATAAAATTGAAGGCCGAACCTACTACATTGAGTACGAGGGCTTATACCGTATCTGTACTGAATGTGCTCAATACGGGCATAGCTCGATTGGCTGTCCTTCACTCTGCATGCCAATGGAAGAGACAGCTACAACCAAGCCGGCGGAAGCAGCTCCGGTGCAGTCGACGAAGCCGTATGGGGACTGGATGGTTGCGAAGTCTAAGTCGCAAAACCGAGCTAACAAAGGCACCAAACAAAAGCCTGGAGTACCAGCTCAAGAAGCGAATCTCTCGACATCTCGTCAGGCTCCTGGCTCGCGTTTCGCTGTCTTGAACACGGAGGAAGAGGTAGTTAATGAGGACAATATGGAACTGGAAACTATTACGGAAGAAACTGCTGTCCGGAATTCAATGGGGGAAGATAACACTAAGGGTGGAATGCAACCCGCCGGCACAGTCGTCGTACCAACCGAAATGAATGGCAGGGAAGTGCCCCCGGCGGTGGGAAACTTGCTCTCAAACCCTCCTTTGGACGGAGGAGAGAAATTGGTGACGGTTCCTATCCTCTTTGGGGCAACCCCAACTGCCAACCAAAGCTTAGGACCGAGCGGGGGTGGCGGCAGCTCTCACCCGAATAAGAATGGGCTGATGATTCCAGTGCAACCCCATGGACGGGAGGGGGAAGGAGCAGGACCTAAGAAGCCACCTGCCACCAATAAAACTAAAACGCAAGTGGTGGTAGGCCAGATGGATGGTCATGCCGGCAAAGACAAGAGGAAAAGTAACTCCAAGGCCACCTCCGCTACGCCGACACCAGGTGGCAAGGGCTTACAAGGACAGTCGAGGTTGGGAGGCTCGGGGAGCCAGGAGGGTGCAGCTCCGGTTTGCTAGCCCAGCTAGCGGTGCCAGGGAAGGCTCTTTCGTTTCTCTTTTTCCCGTTATCATCATTATGTTAAATGTCTTTGCTTGGAACTGCCAAGGGGCAGGTCATGATCGCTTTGGTTCTTTCTTGCAGTCGTTTTTTGTGCCGTCTAGGCCTGATATTGTCATCATTGTTGAACCACGTATTAGCGGTAGCGTGGCTCAACGGGTTATTTCCCGGCTGGGTTTTGACGGGCTTCTAATGGTTGATGCTGTTGGTTTTTCAGGAGGTATCTGGGTTCTTTGGAATAAACAGGAGCTTCGAGTAACTGAATTGGATGCCTGTGCGCAGATGATCCATTTCAGATGCCAAAGCCTTAACTCGAGTGGTGGGGGAGTGGTTATCTCAGCGGTTTATGGGAGCCCGAATGCAGCTACAAGACAAGAGCTTTGGGGTCGCATCACTGCTTTGGCTTCTCACACCCATGAGCCATGGCTCTTAGTCGGAGATTTCAACTCTATTTTAGGACCGAACGATCGTCGAGGTGGAGTGGATTATCAGGAAGCTCGTTCACGTCCCTTCCGTGCTTGCCTCAATAACAGCGGTCTGTTCGAAGTGGGTTTCACAGGACCTCGGTTCACTTGGAGACGGGGTACTCTCTCACAAAGACTGGACTGGGCCCTTTGTAATAAAGAATGGCTCCAGCTTTTCCCAGACACCGTCAATCGTCATCTGGAAAGGATCGGCTCGGACCACCGCCCCATCCTTGTGCAATCAAAGACGACAGCCAAACTTGCACTGGACAGGCCCTTCCGGTTCCAGGCTGCATGGCTTGGTCATGATGACTTTGCTCGTCTTATGGAGGACTCTTGGAATCCCGCTCCCATTATCCCGGTCTCTCTTGCTCGGCTCACTGATGTGCTTAAGGACGGGAACAAACGGGTTTTTGGGAACATTTTCAGAAGAAAGAGAGCTCTCATTGCCAAGCTTCGTAAGCTAGAGGAGAGGAACGAATCTGCCAGCTCGGCTCGATCTCGGGCTTTGGAGGAATCCACGCGGCGGGAGCTAGAGCAAACTCTCTGGGAGGAGCAGATGTTGTGGATCCAGAAATCCCGAGTTCTTTGGATAAATGAAGGGGACCGGAACACTCGCTTTTTCCATCTGTCAACTTTGAAGAGGCGGAGGTTTAATAAAATTTTGGCACTAAGGGACGAAGAAGGGGTCTGGGTGCACGATGAGACTGAGCTGAAGTGCATGGCGCGGGAGTTTTACGTGGTACTGTATCAAGCGGAGGAGGGAGCGGCTCCCTGGGTACCCGCGTCCTTTGAGAAATTGGAGGAGGAGGCGAGGCGGGTGCTTGATTATGACCTGTCCGATCTGGAGGTAAGGCAGGCTGTGATGGACATGGGCAGCCTCAAAGCTCCGGGGAAAGATGGTTATCAGCCAGTGTTCTTTCAGAAGTGTTGGAGTACTGTTGGAGAGGCTTTCGCTCGGTTCGTGAAGGACTGCTTTAGAAACCCGGGGGAGGTACAGTGCGTTAACGAGACCCTCTTGGTGTTGATCCCGAAGAAGGAGAGCCCCGAGTCGATCAAGCAGTTCAGACCCATCGGACTCTGCAATGTGATCTATAAAGCATTGGCTAAATGCTTAGTGAACCGCATCAAACCCTACATGAAGCAGCTGGTTCACCCAACGCAAACCAGCTTTGTCCCAGGCAGGCACATAACGGATAACATCATTATAGTTCAGGAGGTGGTTCAGTCCATGGGTCTTCGAACCGGAAAGAAGGGTCAGATGATTCTGAAAAATGACCTAGCAAAAGCATATGACAGGCTGAGCTGGAGTTTCTTGAACGAGACCCTGACTGCGGCGGGCTTTCCTCCTCGCACAACAGACGCAATCATGGCCTGCGTAACGTCCTCAACCATGCAGGTGATGTGGAATGGCGGGGAAACTGACAGTTTTAAACCTTCTCGGGGGCTGCGTCAAGGATGCCCGCTCTCGCCCTACCTCTTCACTCTTTGTATGGAACGCCTCAGTCATACGATCCAAGAAGCGGTAGCGAAAGAAGATTGGAAGCCGATCAAAACCTCCCCAGGTGGCCCCATGCTCTCCCATTTGTTTTTTGCTGATGACCTGGTTTTATTTGCAGAGGCAAGTGAGGAGCAGGGAACGGTGATAATGGAGTGCCTGGATCGGTTCTGTTTAGCTTCTGGGGAGCTCGTGAGCAAAGACAAGTCCGTCATCTTTTTCTCCAAAAACACTAAGCGTAGCACCTGTTCGGCTATCGCTCGCAGCATGGAGATGACTATGACCCAGGATTTGGGACGTTATCTGGGTGTCCCAGTTCTTCATGGTCGGGTTACTCGGGCCACCTACAAGTATATCCTAGACCGCCTCGACAAAAAGCTAGCTGGCTGGAAGGCGAAGACCATTTCCCTTGCGGGTAGAGTAACCCTTGCTGTTTCAGTTCTAACTGCCTTGCCTACTTATGCTATGCAGACTTCCTTTCTTTCCATCTCAATCTGCGATGAGATTGACAGAAAGATCCGCAATTTTGTTTGGGGATCAACGGCGGATGCCAGGAAAATTCATCTGGTCCACTGGGAGGGTATCTGTCGGCCGAAGAAGGAAGGTGGCCTTGGTCTCTGCAAGGCGCATGAGCTCAATCTTTCCTTTTTGGCTAAACTTGCTTGGTGCTTTGTCAAAAACCCAAATGAGCTGTGGGTGCAGGTTCTGCAGGCTAAATATTTCCGGACTGTGAATGGGCAACTGGTAGCCAAGTCGATGGCTAGAGCCTCCTCGCTGTGGAGAGGAATGCGGCGGGCCTGGCCTATCATGGCAGCTGGGATGGGGATGGCGATTAAAGATGGTTGTGGCACTAGCTTCTGGTTGGACCGGTGGGTGGGGGATGGTGAGCCACTGCTGGATCGGGCCTTGGACTCCGCCCGCAACCTTGACCCCGGGCAGCCTGTCGCCGCGTTTGTGAATACCCGAGGTGAGTGGAATGTTGAGTTATTGGCAGAATTCTTACCCCCGGATGCTATCTCGCAGGTGATTGGGGTTCAACCTCCTATTGCTGGGTCGGGCGAGGATGTCGCCATCTGGTTCCCAGAAGATGACGGGAGGTTCCGCGTGCGTTCGGCTTATGATTTAGCAACCAACGAGGAGGAGCTGGCACGGGACTTCGACTGGCGCACCATCTGGCGGTGGGAGGGGCCTGCCCGCATTAGACATTTCCTTTGGCTAGCTGCTCGGGAACGCTTGCTGACAAACGGAGAACGAGGCCGGCGCCATCTTACGGAAGATACTGCTTGCCCCCTTTGCCGAACAGATTCCGAGTCGGTCCTGCATGTGTTGCGGGACTGCAGTTTTTCCAGGTTAATATGGTTGCAGCAAATCCCTTCTTCTGAATGCCAACCCTTCTTCGGAGCGAACCTGCATGATTGGCTACTTCACAACCTCCGGAGCCAGAATAACAGTCTCGAGTTTGGTATTACCTGCTGGTCCCTGTGGAGGACCAGAAATGATCGCGTCTTCGCAGGCAAGATCATCACCCCTGAAACCTTTTTGCACCGTGTCCGGGCTTGGGTACCTGTAGTGAGGAATGCCTTGGACAAGGACAGGATCATCAATAAGCCTAGTCCGCCTGCTAGAACGGAGGAGCAGATCGCTTGGAAGCCGCCTCCTCCCGAGTGGGTTTGCCTCAACTCCGACGGCTCCGTTCTTCCTGAGACAGGCCTCGGCGCTGCTGGTGGCCTTATCCGCGATCATACAGGACGCTGTCTCTCAGCGTTCACTTTGAACCTGGGTGCGTGCACTATAACCCAGGCGGAGTTGAGAGGTGCAGTGGAAGGTTTACAGGTGGCGTGGGACAGGGGTTATCGCAAGGTGCGGGTCCAACTTGATTCGCAGTGCGCTGTCCATCTCATTGGCCGGACCGATACCGAGGAGCATCATTGTGCAGCTATCCTAGCTCGGTTCAGAGAGCTCCGGTCTAGACCCTGGGAAGTGGAAGTAGAGCATGTGTATAGAGAAGGTAATAGATGTGCTGATTTTCTGGCTAGTCGTGGGCATGTGGTTCCATTTGGCTTTCATGAGGTTGTAAGCTCCGACCCGATGCTTTCGTATTGGATCATGTATGACTGTCAGGGGGTCTCCGAACCCCGGTTGGTTTTGAATGAAAGATAGGGTGCTGCTGCATCCATTACCAAAAAAAAAAAAACTATATAATCCATTATCAACCAATTAAATAACTTAATCAATATGCTTCGGCTTTTGGGCTGAAGCACAAAAATCCAAGCCTGGTCGGAGTCTCGAGACGAGCAACAAGAAGAAGGAGAACAAGATAAGACCGACACCGACTGCGCCACGTCTCGTGAAGAACTTTATTGGGCCTTAATCTGGACCCAAGACCATACGAATTATAGCCCACATATAGTTGGGTCTAGAATTCGGAAGCCGAACCATTTGTGCCCGTTTACGTCTCTGCTCGGCCGGTTTCTTGGTTCGTCACTTCGTCTCGTAGAAGTCACTCCTATAGTCTTATCGGCTCTCAGTCTATCCTCGTTACTGTCATTGCTCCATTTCCATCTCTATCCAGCTGCTTCTCGGAGCTACAGTAGCGTTACACAAAGCCCTAAACCCTAATTTGACCGGCGATGGCGTCAATCAACTTCAATTTCTTCGACAATTGGTTCAATAAACCTCCAAACCCTCTCCAGCCGACGAACTTGTTCTTTCTGGCCAATTCATTCTCTCCGAAACCAGCTGACTCTCCGGCTTTTGCTTCCTTGAGTGCCTCAAATCTCTTCAGTAAGAAGCCCAAAAAGCCCGAGGAGGAATCCCCGGAGCCCGGGTACTACAAGCAAATGGTGGACCAGTTCTTCTGGGAGCACGAAAACGACCCCGACTATCGACACACGCCGGAAGTGGAGAAGATCCTTAACGATGACCCGGTATTCGAGAAGAAGGAGAATCCGACGCCGGAAGAGCTGAAACAGAACGAGGAGTGGTGGAGAGAGTTCAGGTCAAATCCTTTGGTGGAGTTCTGGTCTCGAGTGATCGAGATTGACGACAAGATCAACGAGCTGGAGCTGAGGGAGAACTCTATTCCGTATAGATGGGAGGACAGGAAGATCTGGCAGGCGGTGCCGCATGTCCCTGGAGAGGACGGGCGGCCGATGCCGAGGAAGGCGATAATGACGAGGAAACAGAGCGACGACAAGTTTTGGGATTTCGCACGGCAGTTCTTTTTTGGGCTTTGGGGGTTTAGGCAGAGACCTTACCCCTCTAGTCGGCCAATCGATGTTGCTCAGGCGATTGGTTACCAGAAGCTAGAGAAGCGCTACTATGACTGTGAGTTTGGTCTAACTTAACACAAGCTTATATTTCCAGATTAGTTTTGCTTTATGCCAATTTTGCTGTGGCAGTTATCATGAGAAGCGGTGGGTTTTACTATAAGGATCGATTGGGAAGAACAAGAGGACCGATGGAGCTAATACAGCTGAAAACTGCGTGGGGTGGTGGGATAATAGACAAAGACACGTTTGTGTGGATGGAAGACATGGACGAATGGGCACCAATCCACATGATTTATGGAATGGAACCTGCAATTGCCACTTGGGAAGGTCAGAAAAAGTTCCAATTTTGTGTATGTTGCTTCACACATTTGGCCTCTGCCTGGAATTAGAAGAATAATAGCAGCACAAATACGCTATCTTTAGTTGTGGGTTTCTTGAAATTAAGGATATGTAGCTAAGATCATCACTTGGTAATTAGTCTGAATAAGGAGTTGTAGCGTAGCTTAGGGTTCGTTCTTTTGTGTGTTCGAGCATGTGAGCAAATTGGCTTCTGAGCTTGGTGTTTGTGCTATGGCAGTGAGATTCGGTGCAGCAGCAACAGCTCTCCTTAAGAAACTACAGCATGGTATAAAGCCGTGGGCTCCTCTTAAGGGACATGAGCCAAAAACCTATAAGCAGGTGCAGCAAGAGGCTATAGAGAGCAGAAAGAGAGACTTGGCAGTTCTGCAAGCCAACGGTGGTGTTTGGCCTGGAGTCAGAACGCCAAGCCATGCCTTATTTCTTTGGGCTAGTGGTCCTGAACTTACCCCTACTTTGGAACAGGATCATATGCCTAACAAATACATCCCGAAAGACCTCAGGTACAGTCCATCACTTCCTTGTATTCAATTTGAGGGACTTGTCTTAAATGGATCTCTAAATTGATCACTATTTGGCATCCTTTTGGGGCAGAGAACGTTTGGCGAAGATCATCCCTGGACTAAGGCCGTGGGAGGTATTGAGTGTGGAGCAAGCAATGGATAAAATAACATACGGTGGACAGTGGTACCGTGAGCCACTAGGAGCATACATGACTGGTCCTCCATACATCAGGCACTGGAACAAGGATGTTAGGGTATATGCATTTTCCACTTGCCATTCAGCAGCAGAAGAGAGTCCAATTGCGAAGCAATACATAACTTATATTCTTGACCATCTTATTCTGTTCCATGCATGTTTATGTTTTTCAGAGAATACTTGAGATCTTCTACAATCTTGGTTCCCAAGTTTATAGCAAGCTGGAGAGGACAATCCCTGGCTTTGATACGGTGATGGAGAAGGTCCAGACCGATGCTGATGCGAGGGATGCGAGGCGCAAGCTGAAGAGAGATGCCCTGAAGAAAGCTAAATGAGACGGGGTTAAGTTAAGTGTGTGATGTGCCTGTTGGTGTGTAGAATTGTTGCTTATTAAGTTTGCAGCAAAGCAATGTCAAAGACTCAAGAGGAGGCTGCTTTCTTCCGGCAGAGACAGTAACAGTAGGCTGCTTTCTTTTGTTTCATCTTGAAGCGGCCTTTGAGAGTTGAAACTAATTATGAGGTAGAAACGATGTCGCCTTCTCAGACTGAATTTAGTAGGTGAAGCCCAAATGGGAGCCTGGTAGTTGTGGTGGGTGGATGAACTCCACATTGGCCCGGCCCGGCCCACAGAAACAAAAATGGATTAAATTCCCGATTCCGAATTCCAATTCCAGTTCCACCGACCCTTTGAGGGGTTTGAGGTGTCACATGCTTATTGGCTTCTTTATATCAGACAATAGTTACGAAGTACGTGTAAAGTAACTGAGAGCCTGCCATCTTTAGGGCGGCTCTTTCCGTCGGACGCTTGTCCCTCCCTCGCTTGTCTATACTATAGCCGACTTTGTGCCTATATAGTATCTTAGACAAGGCCCTCTCATTGGTAGGCTGAGCTGAAATTAGAAATGGAAGACTGTGCAATGGAAGCTCGTCATATGTTTCCGGAAGCGGAAGAAGAAAATCTACCTTCGAAAGGAAGTGAAGGCTGCGCTGATGCAGAGGACAAAGAAGAAGAAGAAGAGAAGCGAGGTGGAGGCGGTGGGATTCTGAACAATCTGCTGGGCAACTTGGTTGCTCCGATGAGTCCAAGAGCGTCAGCTGCTACAACCGAGGCCGCCGGAGATGAAGATCACCGACGGGAGACTTTCCACGATTTGCCACCGCCACCGCCACGTGGTGCTCCAGCCGATGAAGTTGTCAGCGAAGAGAGGGAGGATGTCGTCGGCGACGATGAAGGGAGTAGTGGAATCATTGACAGCATCGTCTCTCACTTGCCTAAATCTCTGCCAGGCATGCTCTCCTCTCCCCTCTCTCTCTCTTTCCCCTAAGTTGGTTTATGTTCTGTAACAGTCAAACACTCAGTCGGCTTTCCATTTTATTGACACTGGTCCATTACTCTGCCTTGTTTTTGGGTGCGTGGTGGAACTTGGAACAGAAGATGTGGCTCCGACTAATGATGAGGCATCCATCCTGATCCATGCCATTGTCCATGATTGAAGATTTTATACGAATTCTGCTTTTGTTGTCCCCTGTTTTATGCGTGGGGTTCAGACAGTTCAGGGTTGCTTGTACCAACCGGGCAACCCGCTTGACATTTTTCAATCCGTTGTAATTTCGTTTTGGGTTAACCTCATTCTGTTGGCACATGGGGTTTGGTTTGATTTGATTTTTTCATTGCGGTTAAGAGTGTTTTTTTATTCGAAAATCTTTGGTTCAAAATCGAACTGTTAGTTTGTGTCAAGGTTGTTAACCCGTGGGTTGACCCGGACCCGGTCGAGCTAGTGGGTCAAGGGTTAATGGGTCAACCGTTTTAACCCGGTTTGGCCCGAAAATATAAAAAGAGTCATTATATTGTACTTATCCTTATAAATTATATCAAATCTTATCTAACATATGAGTTATAACATATAATATTACACCAAAATAAGATATCGTACTTAGATTCAACATATAGTGAAAATTCACACACAATTCTATAACATAAATGTTCAAATTTTCAACTTAGTATTCCACAGATTGAGTTAGGCGAAAAGAAAAATTGGAAAATAGGCACATTTCGCAAACTAAAGAAAAAAATTACACAATTTGACCTCCAACCCAGTACCTTATAGCGGTCGGCCCGGCGGGTACCTGCGGCCCGTTTTTCTCACCGGGTCAGGGTCAAATTGGGTCGACCCGTGGGTCAACCCGCGGGTTAACAACCTTGGTTTGTGTATTTGCTTCTCGTGTTACAATAGTGCACTATCCGTATCCATGAGCCAAAATACCTTTTTTCGTGTTTTATTAAGTCCATTTTCCAATTTGAATGCGTTCACTTGCACTGTTATTACTTTGTAGAATGAGTCCGAAACTTGATAGATGGAAATCGGAAATACAGATGCCATGAAGTTGTTTGAAAAAAGTTAGTTAAATCTGAAATACACTGATATTGTTATGAATTGAAATTAAAATGCTAAAACTTGGTTTACAATCGGATGTTCACAGTCTAGCTCTGGCCCCTACATTCATCACCTAATTCATAATACTCTTAATGGGTATTTGATTTTGATTATGTTCAAGTTATAGGCAGCAAACAGCATTAGGAAAACATTTGACAGTGTTGCTATTGAGTAACTTTTGAAAGCTATATAAGAGGTATAAACATTACATCATTGGTTAGAGTAAATAGAGGGGTCGTTTGGAAGTTGCGAATGTTAAATCGTTGCATTGTAATGAATCACTATAATATAAATGCATGTATTGATACAATAGATGCATTTTAACAATACATTGTTTGGTTGTTGAGTTTCTACTTTATGCATTGATTTACATAAAGTTACTTTTATGGGGAAATGT